GATATGCGCCTCGAGTTGCATTGTTTCTCTCTCGGATGTTTCCCCATTAGATCCTGCTGATTGCTTTCCATTGGTATCTTAGCTGAAATATTACTTTCCCCATTCATATTTGTATCTTTTATAATCTACCGCACCTTATTTCTGAAGAGCCTTAAAGAAAGAATTTAAAAGCATTCAGAGGGCTTCTGAGCTGACACAGGTTTCATCACTAATGTTAAGAATTGTTTGAGGTCACTGTGTAGGACATTAATATGCATTTCTCCAAATCAGATTTGGTGAAATGGGTTATCCTCAAGGTTAAATTACAGATTGAAACATCTATGATAAAGTTAACAGGTACATTACCAGAATTAATAAGGAATGTTAAAAAGCAGAGCCAATAGAATCAGCTGTATCTGAATATAGAAAATATTCAAAAAGTATTGAATACTTTTATGGGATGCTGTTTTCATCAAGGTAGTTAGTTCTCTGGAATTCTTTATTTCTATAAGTCAGGGTCTTCTGTGACATCCATCTCCTGTCATAACATTTGAACTGTAATTACTAATTTTTTGCTCATCTCACCACTAGACTGTGTTGTACTTTTCCCTTTTTTATACCTGGCATAATTAAGACATTTGATGTTAGAGTGAATACAGTGGTAAACCTATGTGGCTCCAATTTAATGAAAGATAGTTATTTTTGCTTATATTAGACCCTGGGCATTTTATTCAGTATTCCGTCTTGGAAAGCATTCATTCATTTGGAGCACTAAAATGAACAGTTAAATTCCTCCTGTATGGAGGAATAAAAATGTAGTGCCCAGTTTATTATAATAAAAATACAGATTTTTTTTTAAACAAGGGAGAGCAATACTTCCCAGTATTTAATGAAATTTAAGAAGATGGATTAGTATTACACAAATATAGCTTTAGCATAAAATTAGATTACATATATCAGTATAAACCAAATCTTTGCTTTGGTATAAAAAAGATTTAATATTAAAAAAATTAATTTATCAGGCATTGGAATCAAGCCAAAGAAAATTAATTTATTCTAGAGGGCTATGGGAAGAAAATTTCCTTTAATACACACAAACATAATTTATATGTATATTGCATGTTCATATGTATTTATATGTATGTCATGTGAATCATATTTTTGGATAGATTTCTGGAAATTTAAGATAATGTAATTTTTTTTTTACCTTAAGTTTTTTACAAATGAGTCCACAGTTGCCAAATTATAGAACCAACCTAAGTGCCCTCCAACAGATGAATATGGAAATTGTGGAATATATAATCTATGGAATACTGTATAGCTATTAAAGAGATGAAATACTGCCTTTTGGGACAATGAATGGCCCTCAAGATGACTAGGCTAAGTGAAATAAGATAGTGAAAGACAGCTATCAGTTTCAATTATCTTAGATTAGAAAGAACAGAAATTATATAGTGACAAATACAGCAAAAATACACTTGGACTTAGTGAAAAAAAAATTTACCAGATACCAGAGGGAATAGGAGTGGGAAAGGAAGGGAGCAGAGGAGAGTAGAAAGAGCATCAGTGCAGGTGGTTTGGGGGCGTGGGGGTGAGTGGAACTTGTGCCTGTATGGAGGAATAAAAATGTAGTGCCCAGTTTATTATAATAAAAATACAGATTTTTTTTTTAAACAAGGGAGAGCAATACTTCCCAGTTGGCATTGATATTTTCTAGGAAACCCTCTAAATTCTTGCTTCTGTAACCTTTCATTTTTCTGCCCCACCTTTTGAAACTCATCGGAAGACATGATAGTCAGTACCTCCAGTTCTGTCCTCTCTTAAAGCTGCTGCCATTTGATTTTGTAGTCTTCAAGATCCCAATAATCTCCACATGGTCACATCTCAGCCTTCATCTTATTGTTGGTAACATTGATTCAATTGATTGCTTCTTCCTCGGAGCTCCTCAAAGCACTTTGGTTCCCAGCATTGGTCAAAGTCTCCTTTCCTTCCTCCCTTGCTGCCTGCTCTTCAATCATCTTTCCAGTTTTGCGTTTCCCTGGCCTTCTGGTGTTGCTGTACATCCACTACAGTAGTCCATCGCAACATTTTAAATACTATCTCTCTGCTGGCAAACTGCAAATCTCCATTTCCAGTCCAACTCTCTCCCTTGAAATTCAGGTTTGTGTATATCCAGCTTTCTACCTGGTGTTTAGTAGGCATTTCACAGTTAGGTTCAAATCTGAAATAAGCATCCTTTCCACCACTGAGCTTGTCTGTTACCATACATTCTTCCCTGTCAGTCTTAATGGCAATTCTGTCCTTTAAGAAGTTCAAGATAAAAACCGAGTATTGGGCCCTCCCTGGTGGTGCAGCAGATTAAAGCACAGCATTTTAAAGCTAGTCCCAGCCACTTCAGCACAAATTCAATCCCCAGTCAGGGAGGTGACCCACATGGCCCAGCAGCAGACCTCTCCTGACCCACCCACTGCTCCCCTCAGCAGTGCACTTCACCAATCTGCCTGTTCTGCTCCCCACTCTGTCTCTGGTGAATCTTCTCACTGCCCCTGCACCTCTGGCCTGTACCCCAGTTCTGTATGCATTAAAACAAAACAAAACAAAACAACAAAACCAAAAATAAACGGAATCTTCATAGCCTTCTGCCTTCTCTCATGTCGCCTTATCCCAGGGATATTAGGACCCTCTCAGTACCTCGACTCCTTTCACCTTTGCACAAGCCATTGTCATCTCTTGCAAATTTCAGCAATATCATCCAATTGTGCTGCTCTTTATCTTGCCCTTTGCTGTGCAAACTGAACACAGTGTGATCCTGATAAAATATCATTATATTGTGGCAGTCTTCTGCTGAAAGGGTTTCCATCTTATTCAGAGTAAAGCCAAGGTGCTTAGTAAAAGGATGAAAGCCCTGCACCCATGTCCCACACTCTTCCCCTGAGACAGCCACCATTCTGCTAGCAAATTTATTGGTTTAATGGTGACAGGAGTTATTTGATATTTTATAAGGTGTATCAGTGTCCTGAGTACAACTTTATACTGAATGAAATTAGTCAAAATTTATCTTGTTTCATTTATTCATTTGACAACTATCATTTTTTGAGAGTAATGATGATGACATGAGGCAAATCTGAACCTAATTGAAAATTACGTAGCTTGGATAAATACCTAGAAGAGGTGTTGCTCTGTCATTTATTAGTAGTATTTTCCATTATGAGATGAAGGAATCTCCATCCTGGTTTCCATAGGGGCCACACCAGTTTATGTTCTCAGCAACAGTGAATGGGAGTCCCTTACCAATATCTCGTTTCTGGTGCTACAGATATAAACAATTTCCGTAGGTGTGAGGTTCTATCTTACTATGGTTTTGATTTACACCAGAATGCATCTATTGAAATCCTAATCCTTAATGTGATGGTTTTAGGGGGTGAATTGGGAATAATTGGGAAGTAACTTAGTGCCCTTGTAAGGAGGTTAGGAGAGAGTCTGTTTCTTTGCTCTCCCAGGTGAGGACACCTAAAAACTCTCACCTAAACCCAACCCCACAGCACCCTGACCTCAGGAGTTGGAGCCTGCAGCACCAGAGGGTATAAATTTCTGTTGTTTAAGCCACCCAATCTATGGAAAATTGTTAGGCAGTCCAGAGTATCTCAAATGTTTTTGAAAAGACCTTGACACTGTGGCCTGAGCTGAGTTACAGTGACTTTCGGAAGCCGCATCTTGTTTGGTGAGAACTGGAACAGAAGAGCAGTGTCTGTGTCTGCTCACCTTACTGTTTCCAGTTCACTATCTTCTCTCTAGAGCTTTGTTTTCAAACTCTAGTGAGATTTGTTTTCCAATGGAAGACTAAATAGTAATCAGGTAGACATAAGGAATTCTTGACATTTGTAGTCATTCCAAGTACTAGACTTCTAATAACTTCTTAAAACTTTATTATGGGAAAAGAGTACTTAAAAAAAGAAAGAGTATCAAACAGTCCAGGAAAATGGGTGAAAGTGTAACCTACCTGCACACCGAGTCCAGGAATACAGGTTTTGTGACTACTGGGATTAATGGATGAATGTGTTTCCTGGAATGGGTCCAGGTTTTGTGGGCTCTAAAACTAATACATTATGGGGCCCTTTTTGGGGGAAAAAAAAAAGAATTCAAGGCTCTTTACTTAGGTATAGCATCTTGGAAAGGCCTGAAACTTAAGCTTTTTTAGCCTCATGGCAAATTGACTCTCCTGATGATGATGATGATGATGATGATGATGGTGGTGGTGGTGGAGATGATGGAGAACTTAACACAATGATTACCAAGATGCCTCCCACTGTGCCCGAGGCAGGAAGTCACAGAGTCACTCCCTAGGTCACACACTGGGAAGTGGTGTTGCCAGAAAAGTGAGGAAGGGTAAAATAGAACACAGCTCTATACTGACACTGGAGACCTCCTTGCCCCACAGCTAGAAAACCTCACCTAAGCAGCTGCTCCTCTGCCCACCTGTGCCTATGCAGGTGCTTCCACCCGCTCTCCCTCTGCAGGGCAGCAGCCGCCTGCCTGCCCATGACCTGTACTGTACTATGCCAGGACTTCTGTGCACTGACCTCTCCCAGCGGAGGCCTCTCTCCCAAGACTGCCTGCTTGCAACCATGCTGGTCTCTCTCTCTGCAAACCTGTCCTTTTCCGGGCAGCTCTTCCTGCCCACTTGCACCTACGCAAGTGTCTTTTCCTTTCCTGTCTCTTTCTAATAAACTTACTCTTTAAATATATATATATATATATATATATATATATATAAGTATGTATGTCCTTGATCTACCTATAAAACAGGAATCTATGCACCTCTCATTCCATTGTTCTGGGATCCAGAGAAAGTGAGTACAAATGATTTCCAAAGAGGAAAGTGCTTAGAAATGTATGATACTAAACACCTTTTCTCTCTAATTCAGTATTACAGGTGTGAAGCTTGAAAATGTATTTGATTTGTTGACTATTTCACACCTAATGTCTCTAATTCATCTCTTGAATATGATTTTTGTTTTTAGGTTACTTGTCTGCAAGACTTTTTTGGTGATGATGATGTTTTTATTGCATGTGGACCTGAAAAATTCCGTTATGCCCAAGATGACTTTGTCCTGGATCACAGTGGTAAGGCAGTTCATTGACCATAGAGCAACCTTGAAGTGGAGGTTTGGGATGAAGTCATTGGTGCCTGATAAGTGGTCTGGCCTTAGTATACTCTTTTTGAACTAATGAAAGTAGAAAATAAATTAAAATTTTTTGCCTAGTTGTAAAAAGCAAACAGAACACTTAATTGAAATAGCTTTCATTTTTTAGAATTTGATTCTGTCTCTTTTTACTGCATTGTCTTGCTGCTAAAGTAGATTTCCTAACCTCTTTGAGAATGGTGGCTGTGCCATAAACACATGGATAGCACTGAATCTGAAACAGTCGAATATACATAAAGGGATAATAATGAAATGTTAGTAGCTGCTATCTCAAGTTTCCTTGCCTGACTTTAAAAAAAAAAAAACAATAAAATTCATTGTTTATAGCTTCAGGAAAAAGCATTTTTCATGGGTGGGATAAGAAAAGCCCTTTCTACCAATTTTAACCCATGTATGGAATTTTCAACTACTTAGCAGCATCAGTAATTTCAAATATTATTGGTCTTGTGGATTTTTTTCCATCTTGAATTACTTTTAAACTTTTACAGTAATAGTGATCGGTGGATAGCAGTTTTTCTCTGTAGATGAGGTAAAATCACACAGACATTACATTTTACAAGGAGAGGGATATTAGTGATAAGAGTCTCACTCTTTGGATTTGTGAATAAGGAAAGTTGAGTTGTCAAGTTAGTCCAGCAGTAGAACCCTGTCCAGTTAGTGAATCTGATAACCCAGAATTAGAGACATACATTACCAGGCCCCTAAACTTTTAAAAATTCAAAATGATACACTTTGTGGCACCAAAATTCTTGTGTGATTAAAGTCCGTTGTTTTGGGCTGATTTTTCTGCTTTGTGCTGGAACCTCATCTATCATTTTTTTCTTTTTCACTGCTGTCAGATATCTGTGTTGTTTCTCTTCTAATATTGTTTTAGAAAGGTCCTGCTTTAAACTGGTAATATCTCTGGAAAATCCTTAAAGAATTGCAGATAATGCCAGTTTGTATTGCCTATGTTAAGGACCTCTGAGTGGTTAAGTTTGAAGCATGCATTTACACATTATATATATTACATCTTTCTGGGCTGTAGCTTAACTTCATTTCATAATATTCTTTGATGTCATTTATTTTGAAAGTAGAGGCATGTCAACTCATTATGTTCTAAGTTAGTGTTGGACAAAACAATAACAAACCATTCATTGAGCACCCACTACACTCTTCATGTGCCAGGCATCTGACTCAGTGATTTATCTGTATGTTATAAACTTACTGAGTCTCCTTGGATCATTTATAGTTTTGTTGTTGTTATTATTGACTCCAATAACTAGAGGTAGGTGAAAGATGCTGATGTCTCCCCACTCTCTCGTTTACTTAACCTTGTCTTTTCCTAAAATGCTGTGAGGATCAATTCTGTTAACACATGTAAAGCCATTGGAAGGATGCTTGTGACATAGTATATGCCAATACTTTTGTTGTGATGTTATTATTGTACTACCATCAATACAATCAATACAGAACAATGAATACAATAAAAACAAGTGTCAGATCTAATTCTGCCTCAGGTACAGGTACTAGGAGGTTAAAAAAAAAGAAATTAAATAAGTTATTTAACTTCTAGACTTAATGACATCCAGTATCTGTACTTTCAGGCTTCCTGACAATATCTTGCATAAAGATCTATTCAAAATTCATTAAATTTAGGTAGGCTAGCCTTAGATAACAAAACTCTCCATTAGGAGTTGGAGGCAGGGCCTGCTCAGATTCCTAAACTTAAGGCTTAGTTCTGAAGTTCTGGTTATTAGCCCTCTGGATTTATATACCCTTCCTCATAAAGAATGGCAGTGCCTTTAAGATGTTTCTAAATAATCCACATGCCACTGTTTTCAACAATGGAATACTTTCCAGCATTCATAATGTTAATTAACTAAACTGAAGTGAGGTTTTGATTAGTCTTTCAAATGCTAACTAGCTTCCCCTGGTGTCTATTTCCCTGATTAGTGTACTTCACATGTTAATTTATTGCCCTTGGGGTACAGATTAAAACCAACCCATATTTGAATTTTCCTGTATAAATTGAAGTATTTTAACATAAATTACAATGTGTTACCAAATTTAATCCTTACAATGAGTTTATGTTTCAGATTTCACCCTTAACCCAATATCTTGGGGAGAAAAAATAACTGAGGCTTAGAACCTCACCAAGGTCCCCCAGGTAACAAAGTCAAATCCATGATTCCTCTAAAATCTTCAGGACACCAGAACTCAGGCTCTTAATTATTCAACTTAGAAGTGATTATTTTAGTGTGCTTATTAGTTCTGGTGTACTTTAAGTGGTGTTTTAGTTGGTAACTTAGATGGAAACACCAGAGCTAACTACTAAAGCTAGTTTGCTGATTTTTGGTGTTTCATATGCTGGGAAGATAAAAATTAGTCAGATGAAGAATAAATTTGACTTACGTACTCCCTCAAACTAAGATGATAGGGTTTGGAAAGAATAAAAGCGTAGCCTATCCCTGTTGGTGCTGCTGTTGGGGGTAAGGATGTCCTGCGAAGACCCACGATCAGGCACCCCAGTTCACACTCGGGTTGTCTGTCCCACTACTAGCTAAAGTTGCATTGTTTAGATTAGCCAGTGTTGTGTGTGCATAAATCGAGGACTTTGGGATTCTGTTTTCATGGAACATTCATCTGGAACAATGAATGAGGTGATGTTGATGGCTCAAAATGTGTAGCCTAAGTAATGATAACTTCAGATGTACTTGTGGGAGTACATCTATGTCTAAGAAAGCTCTTAACAGCTCTTCATTACCATCAGGTAATGAAAGTGCCAGGCAGTGACTTTCTTTGACGCATATTAAAACCAGACCTATCTAATGTACTTTCTTTCCAGAATGCCGTGTCTTGAAGTCATCTTATTCTCGCGCCTCTGCTGTTAAATATTCTGGATCCAAAAGCCCTGGGACTTCTCGCCGCAGCAAATCACCAGCTTCAGGTAATTAGAGAAAAGAAAGCTCACTAGCGCATGTCATTCTCCAGCTTTTTATAATAATCATGAACTAGGAGTTGTTTCTCACACTTACGTACGCCAGATTCCAAAACAACGCATAGATGACATGGTTTATAAAACAAAAATTTAAGTCTCTTTCTCCAAGTTTGTCTCCCACAAAACTTACTTTTTTTTGTTATAATACATTTTCTCAAGAAGTTTTATTCCTCAGATTCCTTCCCTGGTATTCACATAGAACTATTTCACACCTACTGCATTTTGAATATTGTCCTATGTGATTAAGTCTGTTTTCTTCATATTGGTTGAAAACACAGACCTAACACAGAAATGTAGTTAGTTGATAAGTTTTCACAGGCTGTTCCTTCATCAAGCAAATAGTGGTGACTATTGTTGGAAAGTAGTAGTGTATTTGAGTCAGACTTACTTGTAATTCAGCGTCTTGCAGATCCTAACCCTGTAGGTCTGTCATAGTGTTGACAATTCAGGAAATAAAAATATCCATATCTTGACCATACTGATTCTACTAGGTTTGTTTATAATTGTAAATAAATTTGCTGACATGATTTCCCATTAAAGATAGTGAAAATGTATAATTTTTAATTTGGGGGAATCTAGACCATAAGTACCAGTACTATCAGTTGAAAACTCTCCCGATTAGCAAACATTTTATACAGACTGAGTGTTTTGGGCATTGCACTTTTCTTCCCCTCCAGAACCTGATCCACCTTCGTTCGGTCGGGTTGTTTTTCCCCTTCTTTTTGTGTACATGTCTAGCTAGAGCTGCTGAATAACCACTGTCCTTACTATCTCCTCCTCCTCTATACACTGCATGAGTACAGTAAAGAGGGCTGGCCACTACTCCAGTGCCTATTCTACAGCCAAATCCCCAGGTGAGCCATGGTTATTATGGCTTTGTCGCTCTGCTGGGCTTTTGTTTTTGTCTTTTGCCACGTTTCTGTTTCCTTTTGCTCCATTTCCATGAATGTACCTGGCTTGTCCCAGTGTAACTCTGTGTGGAGTGCTTCACAGTGCCTAGGCCACTCTATTAGAAAGCCAGTCACAATCAGAAGATCAAGCACCAGCATGTATTGTTACAGTCCTAGGAAGCCCGTCACCTCCAGGCATCTCTCTTCTAGTCAATGTAGGAAAAATATTCTATTTTGGTAAATGATTTGTTCTTGGAAAAGGTGGTTATGAATATGAAATGGCTATAGGAACAATTATAGTCTTTTATTCTCTACGGTCTCCCCACCCTGGAGTTAATAGTCGCAATGTCCTCTCTAAAAATACTGACTCTAGGAGTATTTTTAACTGAAATCATCTCTGTTGTTACTTATTTCAGATCAAACTCTGCTTTCTGTGTCTCAAACTCTACCACAGCTAATAAAACATGGAATTTCTAAACATACACTGAACTAAGCTTACCAGATTGTAGATAATGATCTTTGTCAGGTTCTTAGCTTTTGATATGTTAGGTTTACAAGTACTTATCATATCATAAAATAATTAAAGATGGACAGTACTTCACAAGAGTTTCTAGTAGGTCACACTTAGATGGGATGATGATTATAAGAATCTTACTTATAATTCATTGTGGTGAATCCAACTTTGTCTCCCTGAGGTCTACAGAGGAAAACTAACTTCCTGAACTAGAAACATGCTCAAAGCTCCATCTGTCTTGAAGATGTTTTGTAACATAACCTTAAAAATGTATAAATATTTTAAAAACTTGAATTTGGAAGGCTTAGCAGTTGGATCTAGGAACTCTTAGAACTCCAGAACCCAAATTTTTAACTGAATCTCTACTTTCATCTGGGTTAATAGTGAATGTGTTACCCTCATAAGAGGATAAAATGACGTCTTTACAAGAAATGAACCCAAAAAGTATGTTCAGCTTATGCTGCAGTTAAAAAGTGTGAGGCCTGTGTTAGTTGCTGGGACTTAGCTGGGATTCTGAAGAAAGTTACTCTTTTCATATTGTGTTCTCTTCCCACTCTACAACTCCAGGAAGGTGTTATTAGAAGTCACATTACCCAGAAGCAAGTAGTCTTGCTCTCACAGACCTACTTCAGTTGTTCTATACTTGTTATCCTTCAGAAAATTTTGGGGGAAAATCGGAATTTTAGACAAAGTGAGCAACTTTGCAAATATAATAATGCACTTTTAAAGTCTTGGGACAAAAATATTGCTGGGCATGGAGTCTTGTTGACTAAATGCTTCAACAGTGATTTACCACAATACTGTACAAGAAACATATAGAAATTAATCTGGATAACAGAGTTAACATAATTTGAGCTTAAAAAAAAATCTTGCTTACTCAGAATCACCCCCAGCCCACCCTGAAATTGTAGAGGGTGTGTTATGTCGCCTCTTTAGTTATTGCTATCATGGGGTTAACTGAGAATCCCTTTCCTTAGCTACTGGAGATTTTAAAAGACGCTGTGTTTATGTCACACAGTACCTCTAGAAGAAAGAAAGAACCATTTCTAGGCAATACTGTGTGACAATGTCATCCATTCAATTAAAAACATGATTAAACTTTGTTTCAGAGTTAGGTCTTAGAAAAATGTATATACTTTTGCAGTTAATGAAATGTTTTTCCACAATAATAAAATAACCTTAATTCTTTATCTGTGTTATGATGTTTATAGATTGGCTTGTTGAACTCCTGGCCTATAGAAGACATTTTTTTTTTTTTTTTAGAAGCTTCCAAATGCTGTAGGTTAATGTGACTTAGTATCTTTATAACAGAGTTACCTAGGGTAAATATGGATATGTAGTTACTGACACCAGTTCAATTCCTAGTTGTGAGTTTTGCAAAGATACTATATTGAGGGCTAGGTATGTTTATAGAAAGATTTATCAGTTAGATCACCACTTGCAGGAGGAATTGACTTCCCTCCTTTAGTTCTCAATCTGTCATTGCTCCAAGAAAACCTTGTTATCAATGTGGTATCCATTAACAGTACTCAGAAACTGGAGTAGAAACTATTGATCTGTTACAGTTTGCTCTGTGCAATGAAGAAAACATGGAATAAAATTGAGTCAGCTCACAGCAAGTTTATTAGTTTATTGCTCATGATAATCTCTAGTTATGTGAATTCCTATCCCAGTTCTCTTTAAAGAAAATTTTTGAAAGCGATAGCATTAATTAAAACTTAATCTAATTGAGAAATAATTGGTGCTTTTCAGTACTTGTAAAAGCTGCTCATTAATCGTACAGTTATCTAAATATACCCAAGCATTAGTTAAGAAAACAGATAACTAATAATTATTTTAGAGTAGTATTGAACTATATTCCTACTTATCGATGCTTCATTTAGTCTTAATTCTTGATCTAGGGCTTCTGCCTCCATCGTAGACTGGCATTCATTTAGGATAATAGTCGTCTGTTCCTTGTGCTGCAAAAAAATTTAAAAAGCAGGTGGACTTATTTTTCTCTCTCTAGAGTTGAATGGCAGATTTCATCTACTTTAGACAAAAGCACTGAGGAAAAAGGGGTTATCAGTAATTTCTTGGATGATTAAAAAACAGTTATACCAATACTAAATACTAACTACCATCTTTGTGAAATTACAGCAGAAATGGATCGAGGTGATAAAAGCAGGAATGATCACGAACCAAGTGAAGTGTCTGACCATTGTAGTTCTTTCATGTAAAACCTGCAAAGTGCCCCTTCCCTCTGTACAGCAGCAGCCATCTTTTTACTGCCATGGGCTTGCAGCTGAGCTCTTGACCAAATCAGAAATAGATGGCCGTGTGGGGGGGAGTGTATTAAAGCCACCAAGGCGTACCAAGCCGTGGGGAAATTGTGGGGAAAAAAGAAATAGAAATACGTAATCTACATAAAAAGAAAGTTGAAGAGTGTCTTTTTTGACTTTCAAACAAATAAATGCTAAAAGGAAATGGGCAATAAGTCCCCCCTTCCGTTAAGAATATACTTAGTAAATATGGTTTGGGGTTGTGGTAGTTATTGTTGATTTGGGAGAGCCCTGAGAAATTCTTACTCAGACTAAAATCTGCCAGGACCATGGACGTTGAAGGTTAAGAACAACCTTCACAGTGAACTCCTGCCAGATACAGTGGTTGTTCACTTCTCTACCCTTGCAAATAGGCACGCTCTGAACAAGTTCCTGTGGTACATTTCTAATTCCATAATGCTTTATATATTTGTTTATGTCGCTGTTGGGAAACCTATTAAAATGTGTATTTTCTCACCTTGTTTGTTTGAGACTGTGTCTGCAATACAATTTTGCTTTTTGCTGATTTCCCATCTGCTTTGAGCTTTAAATGAATTGAGGCTTCACTGCAGCCACATTGCGCATGTGCTATCTCTACACGGCGGAGTTATTTTGGATTTTAATGAACTTGGTCTTCTTGTCAGTTAACGGAACTCCCAGCAGCCAGCTTTCTACTCCTAAATCAACGAAATCCTCCAGCTCTTCTCCAACTAGCCCAGGAAGTTTCAGAGGATTAAAGGTATGAAATATGATGTGTGGCAAGTTTGGATAATTTTGTTATTTTGAATTGCATATAGGCATGCTTCATTTTATTGCACTCTGCACTCTCACAAATTAAAGGTTTGTGGCAACTCTGTCAAGCAGGTTTATTGGTACCATTTTGTTCAACAACTCTTAGAGGAGTTGGTGTTGTTTTCTTGGCAGTAAGGTATTTTGAAATTAAGGCATGTATATTTTTAAAATACATGATGTATTTAATAGGTAGGTATATTTAATAGGTATATTTAATAGGTAGCATAAGTGTATATTTAATAGGTAGCATAAGTGTAACTTTTACATGCACTGGGAAATTAAAAAAAAGTTTATTCTCTTTATTATAATATTTGCTTGATTGTGGAGGCCTGGAAGCAAACCTGTAGTATCACTGAGGTATGTTAGAATTTGTTACTGCGGGATGTAAAAGTGAGGAATTCAGGGTTGATAACCTGGCCTTGAATTCTGTGTCTCGTTTTGTTTTGTAGTTTGGGCCAAATCCCTTAATTCTTATGATCAGAAGTATTCTGATCTCTTTAATTTGGATAGAAGGTTGTGGTTGGGTTAAACAGTGTAGTATGGTAAGAAGTAGTTTTCATATTATTAAAATTATTTACAACAACAAAGCCTTGGGAAATAGCACAATTCACTAAAGTTTTGTGGTATAGCGATTTCTCAGAATGTTGAAAATGGATCTAGCACATAATCCAGCAGTTCTACTCCTAAGTATCTAACCAAAGGATTTAAACAAACAAAACAAACAAACAAACAAAAAAACCTCACCAACTAAGAGATAAACGAATGCCTTTGTTCATTGCAGCACTATTTACAATAGCCAAATTCTGGAATTAACCTAAGTCTCCAAGGAGAGATGAGTAGATCAATACTGTACAGCATATACACAGTGGAATACTACACACCTATAAAATTTGTTGAAATTTGGTCATTTGCAATAACCTAGACTGCACTGGAGGGGATTAGGTGAAGCAAAATGAGTCAGAAGGAGGACAAATACTGGATGACTCCACACATACATGGAATATAATTAAATAAAACAGAGGGCCCACTAAAACAAAACCAGTAACAAACCATAGAAATCTGACCGTTAAGGTGAGGCTGTCAGAGTGGGGGAGGAAGACCAGGGTGAGGCGGGGCCCCAGTGGGCTGTGGTGGAAGACTCTGGGTGCCCCTTGGCAGCCTCCACCTGAAGGATGTCTTCTGTACCTCTAAATCATATTAAGCCAAGGTTCCCTCACTAAAAGAAATTTTAAAATAAAAATGTAGAGGTCAAGAAAAGATTGCTAACATAATTTGACTGTGAAGTCTAGAGTGAAATACTAATACAGCGTGCGCATGTGCGTGCACACACACACACACACACACACACATATGCAATAACAACACAAGGATTATGTTCTCCGACGTTGGTTCTCAAAACATTCTGACATCCTCCAAGTGGTTTTTCTTTGCCATAAGGATGTTGAAAATATATTTTTAAATGAATTATAACTGAATAAATGTTAAGGGCACCACCACTCCTGGGTGGCTGAGGGGTTTAGAACTTGCAGGGGCTGGCAGAGCAGTTACGGCCATGGCTCCCCTTGCTCAGAGGGTTCCACTCCACTTCGCTTGCCCTGCCTTGAGGATGGCTGTCTGCCTCAGGTGCTTCCATGAGCCCAAGATGAGGAAGAGAACCCTCCCTTCGCACTCCTGGCAAGGGCAGACTATCTTTTCGTGCCTGCTTACTTTTGTACATTGGCAGAATTTTGACTGAATTTGGATAGATCTCTCACCTGCTTCAGAGTCCTGACAGTGCCTTAAGTTTATCAGAACAAACAAGTAGTTTTGTTTGAAGTGCTAAGTTGGCATCAGTCAGTTTCCAAGATGATTTGAATGGAATTTTTTGTCAGTTCCTAAAAACAGTTAAATTAAAATCATGAAACTTATTATTTTTAGTTTTCCTTTGCCAACCTCTTTTCCCAGCAGAGTAGAGGTCTGCTGTTTCTAATCCAAGTAACTTTTAATAGAACAATAGTAAAAATAGTTCAAGTTGATTCATGTCTTTTCCAGTTTCGGAACCAGTTCCTGTGGTCTTGGTCCTTTTGCCCTTTTTTGGTTACCTTTGACCTAGGCCTCCATCTTTTTCCCTAGTTCATCATCAACTCTATGCAAAATTCTCCCTTTTTGTGGCTGCCAGGAAGTCAGTTGTTGCTGCTTCATGCTGAGAGTAATGCAGACAGAGTTGCGGAAGAGCAGTCAAATTTCTGCAATGAAGTTTCATAGAATTTTAAAAACTCAGTGAATTGTTAATGCTGAGAATTACATATCATTGTTCTTTCTGTGCTAGGTATATTTTTATTATCACAGTTACCCCAACATTTAGCACAAAGAAAGTACTCAAGATTGCTTGTCAATGTGAAGAAATTTTAAAAGGAGATGAAGGAATTGGTGACTTATGTCCCAGATTGAAAATGAGATTATAAATATATAAAGAGAATTTATCTTTCTGTGACCCCATTCCTTTCTTCACCCCCATAGGCTGAGGTGTATGGGGGTTGCCAGCAGTTCTGAGACTTAACTCTTTGTTTTCTCTTTCATTTATAAAAGGACAAAATTGATTTGTCAGTGACTTCCAAATGCTAGGCTGATAGTTCTTTTAATGTGCAACATAATCTGTCTAAAAGCCTGGGGCATCTAGTTCTGTCATGTTAAAGCTGACATAGAATCAGTGCATTTTACATTAAGTTTGAGTAGCTAAAGAATTCTCTGCCGTACTAGACAGCTTTTAAGACAACAAAGCTAAACACATCTAACCACCCTATTCTCACTCTGTGCTTTGTGAAAATTTCATCTCACTGTGACTCCCAGCCATCTACGGAGTATATTGTCCTCTGGATGAAAACCTGCCTTTGAAAAATTGCAAGTTGGTCCTGTTACTTACTGTACAAAATACCCTAATTTTGATGTCATTGTAGCACTTTAGCCTGCATCTACCAATGTTTATGTTATTTTCTCTATTCAGTGGCATAGAGGCAGAGAATTGCAGATAATTACCATTTGTTGGTGCTGTGCTTTTTCTTTCCCCTTCATTTGAAGTAGCTTATTAAGATCAATTAAGAGGGAATGTCTGACAGTGGAGGACTGTTTTTCATGGGCAGGAACTCTTTACACTATTTATCCTAGTTAGATGCTTTAATGGCTTTGGGGATAGATAATCTTTTTCTAGAAAATCAGGGAATGGACAAAAGCAAGCAGGCCAAGCCAGAACAGCACAGGCAGCTGTTGACACTCATGTCTGTCTCTCTAACCGTACACAGATTTTGGCAGATGGGTTTTTTAAACTCTATATTCTGGAAATTAAGCAAAGTTGGGTCAAAAGTAAACAGACTTTTATATTCTGTCACAGTTTTTCTCTTTGTGCCAATTTCAGGGAGTCATGTTGATGTTCTGGTGGGGAGATTGAAAATGAGAATAGAGTGATGTGATTTTAATTTCTGTCCACTTCAGTGAGGAAGACGGCTCTACTGCATTCACATGCATTGATAATTGGTCATGTTCTTTGAAGGACTGAACCAAAGACAGGAAAGAATGAAAACAAAGCTATCTTCAAATTGTGAATAATATTAGTAGGATGGCAGTATAAAAATAGGGGGGCAGTCAAGTAAGTTTCTTTAAACTAAATGCTGAGAGACAGTAGGACAACTGAGAGTCTTTTTTGATAATAGTTTTTGGTTATATAAAACCACAGAATGTGAAAACTGGGACATGGTCTCAGATTTTTTAGTCTTCATTTTATAGATGAAAAATCTAAGTTTCAGATATGGGAAGTGACTTGTTCAAGGTCCCACTGGACAGTTGGGACTACTGAACTTTCAGGGTCTTGGTTTGTAGCCTCTGACTTATTCCCTGTCTCTCACTGGTTGGTCTACTTAAGTGAAACACAAGCACCCCAGCTGGGCACTCCACAGCCACACCATAGGTGCCAGGCTGGCTAAATCTTCAGTAGGGAAATGCTGGGGTCGTTTCCTTGCTGAATACCTGGTTTGGGATATGCACAAAAGCTCTGAATAATAAAGAATAAGAAAGGATGGAGTAGTTTGGAGAGAAACAAGGAGGAGAGGGTTTGGAATAGGGAGAGGCAACCCGAGGGTGGAGGAAAGACTGGATGAAGGCAAGGAGAAGATACAGAACTCCTCCTGACAGATTTCTGGAAGACCTAGGGGAAGAGATCGCTAATAGGATCTAGTGGGAACTCTTCAAGTGAAATGGTCTACACTGTGTGCCCAGCGCGTACATGACCCCATAAAGCTTTAGCAAAATGACAAAGTTCACAATGGGGTAGGGCTACTGGCTTTCTTGGGAAACTACTGGTGGAGCTCAGTATTGTCAGGTTGGAAAGAGATAGTGTAGTCCAGGCCCAGAAAACATTGGGTACTTGGCTGTGAGGTACTGTCATGCGTTGGGCCAGTGAAGGAAGCCTCTCTCAGTGGCTGGGATTGAAAGTAGAGCCCGCTGTACATCAGCCCAGCTCAGATGTGAAGAGACTACACCAGGGCCTAAAGATCCTAGGTGAGTTGCATGAAGATGGTGAAGAGCTTGGCTGCCTTCCCCTTTTCTGTTTTCATCTCTTTATCAGCCACACAAAGTTTCTTTCTTAGGCTGCTCCCTCAACAGCTTTGTTTGTTCTTACTTTTGAAGGCCACAGAAGTCTCTCTCCCCATCAATTTTAATGCTTTGTTCTCTTTCCTGTCCTTCTACTCTCCAGACCCATCACTCCCTGCTCATTCTTTTTTCTCGCCTTCAAGTCCAAGAATCTCACCACCACTGACATTTACTTCCTTTAATCCCCATCTTCCTGATTCTCCATTTTTTTTTCTTGACCTCAGCCCCTGATCTCCTGTCTGCTTTGCCCAAGCTCCTCAGAGTCTCTTCGATCTAGCTGATAAATTTTCCTATGGGAATATTTACTGTGCTTAAATCACAGCA